AACTATGTGATGTGATCCTGTTCTTAATTTTTTGTGATAAGGTGGACTTATCTTGGCAAGAACTTTGCTGGGGCTATCCATCATGATTGCAGTTATTGTGTACAAGTTTCACAGGAGGCATTTGTCTGCAGATGATACAATTGAAGAGTTCCTTCAAAAACAGAACAACTTCATGCCTATTAAGTACTCCTATTCTAAAATAAAGAAAATGACTAGAGGTTTCAAAGATAAATTAGGTGAAGGAGGTTATGGTTTGGTTTTCAAAGGAAAGCTTCGAAGTGGCAATTTAGTGGCAGTAAAATTATTGAACAAATCAAAAGCTAATGGCCAAGATTTCATCAATGAAGTTGCTACCATTGGAAGGGTTCATCATGTTAATGTGGTGCGACTGATCGGATTTTGTGTGGAGGGATCTAAACGGGCTCTTGTATATGATTTCATGCCAAATGGATCCTTGGATAAAATCATATTTTCTAGTGAAAACAACACATCTTTAACCTGTCAAAGAATGTTTGAAATTGCTCTTGGAGTGGCTAGGGGGATTGAATACTTACATCGAGGATGCGAAATGCAGATTCTACATTTTGATATCAAGCCACACAACATCCTTTTGGATGAGAACTTTAATCCAAAAGTTTCAGATTTTGGCCTTGCAAAATTGTATCCGACAGATGACAGTATTGTATCTCTTACTACAGCAAGAGGTACTTTAGGATACATGGCTCCAGAATTATTCTACAAGAATATTGGAGGCGTCTCATACAAAGCTGATATTTATAGCTTTGGAATGTTGTTGATGGAAATGGTGGGAAGGAGAAGGAACTTAAATGCATTTGCTGATCAATCAAGTCAGATATACTTCCCAAAATGGATTTCTGAACGTTTTGATCAGGGAGAGGATCTAGAGTTGGGAGATGTTACTGATGTTGAAAAGAATGTTCTAATGAAGATGGCCATAGTTGCCTTGTGGTACATACAAATGAAACCTGCCATTTGTCCTTCCATGACCAAAGTCTTGGAGATGCTTGAAAGTGAAATTGAACTCCTTGAAATGCCCCCAAAACCTACTTTTTCTCCTTCCGAATTGCCAGCTCCAGATCATGGCGGTATAAGCCTAGCAACTGCGCCAACCATGTCGCTTAATGCTAGATCATAGTGGTCCACTTCAAATGCATTTTTAGGTAAATGAGCATTCACAACTAGTACCATTGAATATTGTGTCATAATCCTGTATTGTTGCTTTGGTAGATTACCTACTTAATTTTCTTCCTGTAAAATATATCAAATTCTGCATGCCATTTTTCTATCTGTGAATAGCAAACTATTGTTTGAATCAAACTAATCATTGCCAGAATTCCATTATCTTTTAGCAATAACATAGAGTAGTATTTTGCATAGATTGCCCTCCTGGTCCATCAACTTAGTAATCAATTTCATTTGGGTTCCTTGACTTTGTAACTTACAGGAAATAAACACCAGCATCCTTTGTTATGTAAGGGTTTTTGTTTCTTTAATCTGGTTACTTTCCCATTTCCAAAAGTTGGTAGGCGAAAGGCATGTTAATTCCTGTCATAACACGATTTTTGCGTTGCATTTTTTGATTTTTTTGTGGTTAAAACTTATTTTGGTTTTTTTTATTTTAATAGAAAGTCCTTTTTTCAATTCTTCTACTTAAAAAAAATCCCTTTTGATCCTCAAAGCTTAAAATTTGACTCTTTTTTAGTTCTTTCATTATCTTTTACATGTATGATACGTATAATGGAAATCTAGAGTAGAGAAGCTAAAATGGGATTAAAAAAAGTCTTTTTTTAATCTTTCTATTTAAAAAAAAAAAAAGAATTCCTTTATTTTGAAAAAAAAAAAAACTCTTTTTTAGTTTTTTCATTTTAAAATTTTTGTTATCTAACATAACATTTATGCAAAAAGATAATGAAAAACTAGAAAGGAATCAAATTTTAAATTTTAGAGATCAAAAAATAAAATAAAATAAAAAGACTATAAAAAAAAAAAGTTTTGATATAGTTTTACTAAAATTTTGATCTTTCTAAATTATTAATTTCTCAGAAATTTTTATGTTTTAAATCTAAATTTAAAAATTTTGAGTTATAATATGATCGTGAGAAATTAACTTGAAAATTTTGTTTAAAGAAAAATCGAGATTAAAGTATAAATAATGTTGCTTTGTACCAA